GAAAGATTTAATGTCTTTTGTATTTCAGTTGATTTCATCGAAGGCTGTATCTGGAAGTCAGTTGTATGTTTGGACAAAAAGCTGTTAGCTGAGTGTGCACTCATGAGCTCAGCATGTGAGAGCACTGTGATATCACTGTGATAGTGTTGAGAAACAGGATATAGAAAGCCTCCTCAGTGACTGATATTTGAACTGCCTCCTCTCAACCTGCTCAACATTTTGAATTCACAATGAGCTCACATATTACTCACACTGTGAGTATCACACTATGAGAATGGTGTGATGTCACTGTGATCATCGCGTGATCTCACATGTTGACTGGGTTGTCTAGTCTTATGCAAAGTATGCTGCTGCCAAATATAAACCATAAAATCAAAGTAAAATATCCTAACCTAAATAAACCGAAAAAACACTGTTATTTTACCTGAATTACTATGACCAAACACCTTCACCTTTAAAAAAAAACATTAATAAATAGGCTAAATAAAAGAAAATGTTCAAATGAATGGCAGCAGCGGCTGCCAAACAAAAATAAATAAACAAATAAAATAAATAAATAAATAAATAAAAACGTAAATTTAAAGTATATCCTAATTTGGATAAACTGTAAAATACTTATTTTATTATTTCTGTATTTCACAGGTATTTTCTAAATTATTGTAATCAAATACCTTCACGTCACTGTAAAATGAACCTAAAACACCTAAAAAAGGCATACCCAATTAGTAAATTGCATGCTGTTCTTGATTTGGAGTATATGCATGGTTTTGGTCTCTTTTGAAAGGTATGTATGGTTACCATTGTGTTTTTGAGGTTACCTTTTTTTTTTTTTTGAACGCTAACAGGTTAAAACGGTAAAAACAAAAGAAAAAAAAGGTCAAATTTAAGTGAATAAAGTACAAAAAAAAAAAAAGACTGGTAGCAACAGAAAATTAAACACTAACAGATCTCTCTAGATCTCAGCATCTTCACTTATTACAAACCAGTTTACTTTATTTTATACAAAAGTTATTATTGAGAATCAACAGAGGTTTAGATGGTGCTGTTTTTATTGAAAAGCATAAAGGTTGAAGTCACAGTTATGGTGGACAGTGTTTTCTTTAGTTGGGCTCTTGACCCTTGGTTTTATCCATTCATCAGTTTTTCTTTGTTTGTTTTAGCATGATGTGTTGATGTGTATTTATTATTGCGAAAGGACAATAAGAAATACTCTGATTTGATGATGTTGGTCAGTTATTGACAGAGGTGTAAAATCTAGGAGTCAGAAAGTAAAAGTCCTGCCATATGATTGTTCCACCCATGAATTCAACAGCTGATTTCACCAGATTATGAACCAAGTCATTCCTTTCAAGTAAATCCCATGTCCGCAAACAGTTAAAGTTACTGAGATAATTAAGAGACAAATTAAATGATAATTGCGCATTAGTGATGGACATCTGCTGTTATTGAGAATTACAGCGTATCAGATGTTGATGTTTTATTGAATGAAACTATGTCTCTATCATGGAAACCAGAGTTTGTCTTTCACAGGCTCTTGCTCCTTGACTAATGTGTCACACACAGACATCAAGAACCAGCATATGAATCTCAGCAATGGTGACAATCAACAAATAGTATCATGCTGCAATGCATGCTTGGTAACACCATAGTAAAAACTCCCATCATGCACTGCAGTATGACAAAATTATTGCTACCACTGTTGAGGATCATATGATAAGTGTTCATGTCTAAAAGCCTGTGTAGCTGGTACCCTTTTATTCTTCAATATTGAAGTATTACAGTGGTATTTGTTTAATCTGATTTTTTTTTGCTCATCAGTAATAGCTGAGTGTCTGTCAATAAACCTACCATAGAGATCACTTCATGATGTTCATTAAACATGAGTTACAGGCCGAAAACAAGCTCATCTGCTACTTCAAAGTTTGATTCAGCAATGCACAAATATTTGCTGTGAAACCATATTGTAATTGCTTAGAAGCAGATTATTTTGAATTCCTAAAAGGGTCGAGACAAACTAAATCAAACCTTGACCACAATTATGGCATCATCATGTTATATTTTCTTTTCGTTTCTTGACCAATAAAACATCAACATCTAAACCTCTGTCAATTCTCAGTAAGAGATTCTGCAGACATAAAATAAAGTCAGTCTGGTTAGTAATGAGTGGAGCTGGTGATGCTGTTTGTGGAGTTGTTTAATCAGATCTTGAGAGAATTATTTTTTTTTCTTCAGTTGACTTCATCTAAGGCTGTGGCTGAAGTCAGATGTAGTTCTTGTGTTTCTCTTTTCTTCAGTGATTTTGATTGGTACCAGCAGCTGTTCATCACTAATGATCAATCATCATTTAATTAGTCACTTAATTATCTCATTAACTTGAACTCTTTGAGGACTTGGGATTTGACTCGAGACTTGCTTGTGACTTGAAAGGAATGACTTGGTCCCATCTCTGATCTCCTGGCAGAAAAACTGGGCCAATTAGCAAATCCAGGTGATTGGAACAAAATACTGTGGAGGACTTTTACTTTCTGAACCTGGATTACACCTCTGTTATTGATGATAATTTAGTCATCATTGTGACCTGATTTAGCCCGTTTGATTTGATTTAATGTAGCCTTGCAACACTACTGTATCAGTATTAGGGCAATGTGATGTTCTGACTCTTTCTTTATTCATTATACAAAATTCGATTCTCAGACTTTTTTCATTATTCTATGTTTTTTATTTCTTCTGCAGAAACCTCACCGATGGTGACGATCAACAAAGTTATTTGAGATGTTATTTGTTTTGTGATGTTCAGAGTTAATCTGTTTATCTGAAAAATGTGTAACCACTGTTGAGGTTCATAAGCTGATTCTTGATTTCTGTGTGAATTTACCTAGTCCTACCAAAATATTTTCTGATCAGATATAAGTTTTTTTCCATTCTTTGTCACAGCAAAGATATGTCAGACACAGTTTAAAATTCAAAGTGAAACTCACTGAAAAACACATTTAGGGTCAAGAGCGCAACAAAAGCAAACACTGACCACCATGATGGTGACATCTAAATTTATGACATCTAAACACCAACATCTAAATTTATTAATTCTGTTTTATATGATAGAAATAAGGGCAAACTGGTTTGTAATAAGTGAAGATGCTGAGTTCTAGAGTGATTTATTAGTGTTAATGTTCTGTTGGGATTTTGTGAGGTTTTCGTTGTGCTGAGGAATAGAACTTGTGCTTCAGTCTAGCAGAAGCACAGGAAACATTGATGTTATACTGCATGTTGTTTTATTCAAAAGCAGTAATTGTGTAGTTGCTGAAGCAGTAAGATATAGTTACATTATTTCATGCATGCTGTTTCTGGTTAACTGCTAGAGATTCATGTTTTGCAATGAATTTGTTTGTTGTTAATAATTCAGGAAAGACCTGTAAAACAACAGTGTTTTTCTGTTGATGTTTTTTTTTATTAGTAGTATTATTTAAATTAGGATGTATGTATGTGTATATATTGACTATTTTTTTTTTGTTCGTTTTGTTTTTTTTTACAGTTAAGGTGTTTGATCCTAACAATTCAGAAAATATCTTTAAAATAACATTGTTTTTGTGTAAAAAAAAAAAGGTTAAAGTTTTTTGCACTTTATTTAAATTAGAATATTTTACATTAATCTTAGGGTTTTTGTTTGGCAGCCGTAACTTTTTTGATCCACTTCTAAGGTTGAAGATGTTGATGTTTTATTGGTTAAAATGATGGCACCATCATGGAGATCAGTGTTTGCTTTAGTTGTGCTCTTGACCCTTTTCAGAATTTAAGAGTGGTCTGCTGTTATGTAATTACAATATTGCATTACAACAAACAGTTCTGCATTTGCACGTTAAATGCTTGAGAAAGTAGTTTAAACGACTCACTTAAGTGAATGTCGATAAGGTGTTTTGCGTTGGTATACAGACTAATATTCAGCTGTTGCACAACCTAAAACATAAGATTCTTAAATATTGGAAAAATAAATATTATGTTGCTCAGGCTTTTAGACATGGACACTTATCATATGTTCCTCAACAGTGGTGACAATAATTATTCATACTGCAGTGCATGATGGGAGTTTTTACTATGGTGTTACCCAGCATGCATTGCAGCATGAAGCATTTTGTTGATTGTCACCATTGTTGAGATTCATATGCTGGTTCTTGATGTCTGTGTGTGTCTAAATGACTGTAGAGTTCGAATATTCAGAATTAAATTTAATTCACTATAACTGTTGAAATAATACTCTCATTGTATGCTGTAATTTAACAAGAACGGTAAGTCAAAACCGCAACAAGCTAGCTTGGAAGTAATCTGGTTAGCCCCTGATGATTACCTCATAATTTGTTATGGCTATCAGCTGCTCTCTGCAATGCACTGATCTCACTGCTTTTCAACACCTCATGTGTTATTATAAAGAGTAAGCTAATATGAAACTTCAAGGGTCAAGAGCACAACTGAAGCAAACACTGATCTCCATGATGGTGACATCATTTTAACCAATAAAACATCAGCACCTGATCCTCTGTAATTCTCAATAACAGCAGGTGTTCATCACTAATGCACAATCATCATTTAATTAGTCACTTAATTATCTCATTAACTTTAACTCTTTGAGGACTTGGGATATGACTTGAAAGTCCCACCTCTGCTAAATAACATTACCAGAGATCAGCCTCTGTATGACCTCAATGAATCAGGTCACTACATAATGATTGAATAATCAATAAATATACATCACCATCTGATCAATTTGTCCTCTCACTACTTTTGAAACACACAGTTATAGCAGCAAATTCTCAGGGGCCCGTAAAGGGCCAGTGCAAGCTTGTTTGCAGGGTTGTCTTTGTTCAATTGAAAGTTAAACTATCAGGACAAGTTTTGGTTGCACAGAGGTACATTATTTTATAGTTTACATAAAACCTCTTTTAAATCACTATATGCTTACACATTAAAGATTGATTTTGAATACAATAAAAATATTTTTGTCTTACTTGGCTTCAATGTCGACTGTCAGACTCTGGTCATCCACATAGAAGAATGACTTACTGGGTTTTAATTTCACTTCAAATACTGGAAGCACTGAAACCAAACCAGAGAAAAGACACACAAATAAATCAATACATTCCTTGACTTATCATTTTCTTACACAACAAGAGTTTAAAGACACAGATCTCACTGTATTGTTTGACCTCAAAGTCTGCAGTAAATGTCTTCTGAGGAGTGTTTGTGAACTGTGTCACCACCTTCCAGATCCCAGAGCTGTGCAACATTCATAAATAAGCATTATACAATAGACTACATCAGCATTATAACACAGATCACGTTTACACATATTTGATAGTTGTTTGTAGATAAATTCAAAAGATATTATCCTGAGGCAGACACCATGGATCATTGGAAATGAAATCCAGTCAGTTCACTAGGACTGAGCAGGATCAATCGTGCAGTGTTTTTCACACATGAACACACCTGGCAATCTCAGGAATGGCATATTCTCCGGACTTCATCCCTTTGACTGGAAATATCTTCTCTGATGAAACGGTGATGCCTTGTGGATTCTTCAGAAACAGAAATCAACATTAACACTGCGACTGCTGAGATCATCAGTGCACTGATGGCCATTACAGATGAAATGTCATGAGAGAGAGAGAGAGTGAGTGAGTGAGTGTGTGTGTGTGTGTGTGTGTGTGTGTGTGAGAGATCAAATAACAGTGTGTACCATGATTTCCACTTTGATTCCAGACTGACTGAGTGGTTTCATGTTGGGCATCAGAGAGAAAATTCTGTACTGAACTGCAAAAGAGCTCAAAGCAAAAACTGAAATATGAGTTCTGCTGGTTTTATTTTCTGCAGATACAAACCCCGATAAAAGCAACAGTCAGTTTAATAATAAACAGAATACTTTAATGTTGTTGTAACACATTTGAAGTTCACATTGTGCATTAATACACTCTATAGCTGTCATGTTTTCAGCACTTAATCATACCTGTGCTAGCAGGTGTGTAGATGGGCTTGTCTGTTTGTACAAATATATATCCAGACTGGAATGAGATCATGACTACTTTCTCCAGAGTGGTGGATGGAAACTGAGCTTGTAGATACACATACTGCTTCTCCAGAGGATCGTCAGAGAAATACTGTTGATCATCAGGAATCTACAGGACAGATAATCAGTCATCCTGAATTATATCTGATAATAAAAGAATGAGAATGAGACATCAATGCACTGTAATTACTGCACTCTCACCTTTATTTCTGTAAGGATCTGGAAATTGTTGTCTGCAGTCAGTCTCACTGATTTAGACAGTATCTCCAGGTTCTTCTTCAGATTTGTAACTATGATCTTCACATTGACAGCTGCTCCAGAGTAATCCTGAGCCTCCACAAACACGTTCTCTGAGGAACCCACCCTCAGCAAGTTAGGAGCTGACAGAACATACCTGAGGAGATCAGATCAGAGCGTTTGAGAACAGATCTATTAGTGACTCCATGAACAAACAGTGTGTTTGATACTCACAGAGGGTCACATAGTGTGAGGAGCGGTGAGGAGAGCAGAACAACAGTCAGAAACGGCAGCTTCACATCCATCCTGTCTGTCTGTGTGTCTCTTCCTGTGAGCGTCTGTGAACCTGCAGCAGCTCAGATTTATACCCGCCTCCACGACCCTCAGAGTCCAAACTCTTGGACTTGGAATTGGTCTGTTTGCATTTCCTGCTGTTTGGAATCACTAACACACACACACACACACACACGCACACACACACACAACCATAT